CCTGATGCGGGGCGTACAGAGCGCAGTAGTAGAAGCGGACGCTCCATACGGACTCGGCAATAATAATAAGCTGACGCGGCAGCAGTGGTCCCTGTTTCTCCCTTGGTATATCGACGATACGCATGCTTTGCTGGAGCTGAAATCATACATACTCTAGGAGCAGTAAAAATGGGGGTGAAACAAAATGGAGCTCGGCCACTGGAGGGATCGACAGCAGCATCTGTGACAGACTGACAGCTTTATCCTCCACGACGCAAATGGATTGCAGGCAGCGGGCAGCGGCAGCGCGGCGCAGAGGCAGAGCTTCCGTTCCAGCAGCGCCGGCGCCCGCGCCGGCCGCGGCTTTCTCGGGGGCAACGACGCGCACCGCGTCCCACATATAATAATAAACAAATCTGCTACGAAAACGACCAGCCCCGTTCGTCACGCCGCCCCCCGCCGGCAGGCCGGCGGCTAGCGCTGCAACGCTCTCGGCTCGATCGGCGGCTGCCGACTGGGCTGCCGCGCCCAAGCGGAGCCGAGAGAGGGCGAGATGGTAGATGTGTTTCCGTTGCCATGTTTGTCTCCGTATTTCCAAACATGCCTTGTCCGTTCCCCTGGTTGGTAAAGTGTGGCTGCAGTAGCCACTCGGCGCGGCGCGTTGATTTGTTGTGACCGCGATCGAGCCCCGCCGATGCGACGCAACGCAGCAACAGTGGCGGACCTGCGCTGCCGCTAGTATGTATAGCAGCGTTACCAGTACCACGGACCACGGCCGCTGCCTGCTGCCCGCCCTGGGACGTGAAAACAAAAACCCGACGCATATGCATATGCATGCATGCGCCCGTCCAATAAACGGCCGTGGCGATCGGCCTAGCTAGACGAGGACGCGACCACACGGCGTGGTAGAGTGTGGTCGGTACGGTACGTGCGTGCTCAGCTCGCATTAAGCCCTTCTTTAGTTACCCAAAATGCAAAATTTGGCACTATGCAAAAAGAAGATTTCCCGTCACATTAAATTTGCGGTACATGTATGGAGTACTAAATGTTGACGAAATCAAAAACTAATTACACAATTTGGTTGTACTTTGCGAGACGAACGCTTTGAGCCTAATTAATCAACGATTGAACAATTATTACCAAATACAAACGAAAAGTTACAGTACGCTACGGTGATGAATTTCAGGCGGCGCCTAAACGCGGCCTAAAATGATCCCGGCCGGCACAGCACTACTCCCCACCAATCAGCTCACACGTACGTTCCTAGGCAAATAAACGGCGGCTAGCACGCACGGCGCACGGGGCATGGGGCACGGCCACGCCATGTCGATCGCGTTCACGTACCGCACGTACCAATCGTCCTACCTACCTAGGCCACCGAATCTTACATGCATGGGAAGGGAACTTGAGCAACCACGTTTCCAAGACGATAGAACGAGAAACGTGATATTTTTTACATTGCATAAACATGTAATTCTTTTTGAAACAAAAGAATAAAATTGTTCTCTGATTGTGTATCTAGAATGAGAAATGGGAACCGTGTAATTATAAAGTTTTCACACACCTGCGGTCTGTTCGGCTGAGCTGGATTAAAGCTGACTGGTCGTTTTTGGTTGATTTGTTGTGAGAGAAAAATATTGTTTTGGCTGGAACATGAACAGTGATATTTGAGGAGGAACCAGCCGGCTCCAGCCAACCGAACGAACCCTGGTTTCTCTTATAAACTAAGTTAATACTCCCTCCGTTCCAAATTATAAGTTATTCCAAGAATCTTGGAGAGTCAAATCATCACAAATTTAACCAAATTTATTTAATAAGATAATAACATTTATGATGCCAAGTGAGTATCATTAGATTCTTCATCAATTATAATTTCATGGTATACCTATTTGATATCATACATCTTTATGATTCTCTCTATAATTTTGGTCAAACTTAAGATGATTTGACTCTTTAAGATTCTTGAAATTACTTGTAATTTGAAATGGAAGGAGTACGTCAGATGCACACTGATTAAACACAGAGCTCCAGTCATTGTGGTGTGTGTGTGTGTTTTAAAAAAAATAAAAGACGTACGTTTCTCGTTACGGCGGCTAAGAAGGGGACTGCGAGTCTGCGACGTTATGATGTTTGGCTTGATCGTGGAACCATACATGTTTGGCTCGATCGGAATAACGCACAACCCGATCCTACAGTGACGACAAGTCATGGCGAGTCACGCAGAGAGACTTGTCACAAGAGCAGTAGCGCTGGACCGATCGGTAACGTGTGCAACGTATACTCCCAGTCTGTCACGTGCAATACGGCAATAGTAGCTCCTAATCTTAAAAAGTTCTGCTATAGTACCTAGTAGGAGTAGCAGCGTAGAGTACACTCAAGTGTATATATGGTGAAAATTATACCACCACAAATATTTGAAAAATCATAGATATACTTTGTTGCAAAGGTTACATTCAAAATCGATAGAGATTATTTCATACAAGAAATTCAAATTTGTCGTCTGGATATGCACTCGAATTTTGTCATTTTAAAAGAAATTAATCTGTAATGTAATGTCATTTTTTAATAAACAAAGTATGTACATGGATGTGCCAAGTTATACTTTTTGAATACCCTTTTCAAAGTACATTTTTAATGAATTCTCGCCGTTTTAATTTGAATATTTGTAGTGTTCTCAATGTATATGCACCCGCTTCTACTCTTGTAGCTCTAGCTCTTTTTCTGAAGTGTAAAAATAAAAAAAAAATCATCTTCAATAAGTTAAAATTTCAAAAATCGATTTGATGAAACTTGGTATACATGTGTCATGTGCGCTGCATAAAGGGACTTTGTTGTTTGGTGCACTCAAGCTAGGTTCTTAGCACATGACAAGCGCAATGACTTTATTTTTATTTTTGGAAAAATTTCCTTTTCTACAACTTTAATCATTAAATATGTAGGGTATTAAAATGTGTATCTAAGCCCATTGTGGGTTTTGGTGAGTTAATGAGATAAATAATCAAATGGCTGATATTTTTGTTGAGTTAGGGACATGTTTTATGTCATAAGATAAGACTTTGATGATTGGAGACCCTCAAATTTTAATTATACTTGGAAGGATGGAATTTAAAGAACACAAGATCATAGTTTAGTTTCTTTCTATTTTGAGTTTCAGTCTAGGATTTATGTACTATAAATGTGATTTATGTTTCTTATCTTTTTTAGTGAAACGAGAGGGTCCCCCCATACTGGAGATTTATTAAGATGAAACAAAAGTTATAGCAAACAAAACCATTTCAAGAGACAAAGAAAATAAACATGTTTATTATCTTGTATGTGTGTCTCTAACTCTCTATTCTCAACAGTTCCGCTAACAAACCTTTGTGAGACACTAATTCAACCCGAATGTCAAAGTTTGTTCCTGCTTCCTGTTCGCTTGATCGTTTCTGTGGGCTTTATAAGCTGGCTGATGTTGTTTTGTTGTGAGAGAAAAACATTGTATCATGGCTGATAAGCATGGCTGATACGATCGATCGAACAGGCCACTAGTTTTTTTCTGGCTAGGTTGAAGATTCGGTTTGGACCAAATGTCCGATGGCTAGTTGATTTCCTAGTCAGCCTTCCATATATAGCCATGACCGAGTATTTGATGAGGATTGGATGTCATCCTAGGTGTTGCTGTATGGTCTCTAGTGTTTGCTAACTTGCTAGGATCATGGCTCAAATCTGATTGTACTTCATAGCGATGACCCTAGAGAGAAAAACAAGTCTAGTCGGTCACGATTACTTTGTACTATTATGAAGAAACGTGAAAAGAATATCCACTATCGACATGTTACAGGCTATTGGTAAATTGATTCTTTGGTGCACATGCGTGAGAAGCTCACAAGCAACATAGAAGGACATCGTTCAAACATTTTTTTTCTTCTCAAGAAGCTGATCACAAGCGGAAACAAACATGATCATAGTATTGTTCTCAACAATGCTGTGGAGTGCCTACAAGTTCACTGGTGTCAGACAATGGTTGTAGCAAACATGAGCGAATTCTGTTAAACCCGGTGATGTTTTAGGACAAAAAATAGCAACTAAGGATCCATAAGTAAGGTATAAATGGGTCAAACTTTACATTTAGAAGAGGATCAAAGAACTAAAAAAATTGCAAGGGACTTGACAATGATTTTTATCGAACTCACCAAAGTATTGGAAACTACCTAGATCTAGTATCAATAGAAATACAAATTGCACGATAAGGGGATATGAGTGGAAGAAAAAAGAAACCAAGAAAATTGGTTAATAATAGCAATATGGAGTTCGTGCAAGTGATTGTAGCCGAGAAGCACCGAGAGATGACAAATATACACTAAGTCAAATAAAAACAATTTTTTCACATGAAAAGGTCTAATTGTTACATTTAAAAAAAACAATCTACCGTGCTATTTGTGCGGGTCACCTTGTTATTCCTATGAACCAGAGGCATGGATGATGACGTAAACTTCGAGATGAAGGATTTTTTTGACAACCCAGGTGAAGGGATTTGAGCTCGCTCAAAATTCTAAAGCTTGACGTAGACGATGTTTTTTTTTTCCTTTTATCAAAAAAACCACCACCTCCACGGCTCCACCTCCTCAACAGAGAAAGATCTAGCCGAGCCAAGCTTCATGGGCATGGCCCGGACCCCATTTGGCCATTCCAGCCGAGCCGGGAGCCAAGCTGGACTTGCGGGAGGAGCTCCCGAGCGCGCTGTGTATTCAATTATTCATGACCACTCACGCACACTCTATGAGCAGCTGGGCCCACAGCCCACACCATCTGTACATCACACACCCACTTACAGGCGGGCCCTCTACCTGAACCATTTTCACCGGCGCGGTGACTTCACCACCCCGTCTCCCCCTTCCCCGTCTCGCCACCCGAGTATCCACCTATATATCGGCCGCTGCCGGCGCGCCTCGGCCTTTCAAGTTTGCCCATACACCAAGGGAGGAACACACACCGAGGAGGCCGCAGCAGGGCAGAGCAGAGTACACCCCCGCGTTTCGGGAATGGCAGTGCTGCTGCGCCCGGCGGCGATCGCCGGCGGCCGGCAGGTGTGGCCGGTGGCGGAGGACGAGGAGGGGGCGCGCGAGGCGGAGGCGGCGTCGCAGCGGCTGGTGGAGGCGGTGGCCCGCGGCGACGCGAGGGAGGCCGGCGAGCTGCTCGCGGCGGGGCGCGCGGACGTGAACTACGCCGGGGTGGTGTGGCTCAGGGCGCGGCGCGTCGCGGAGGCGGAGCCCCGGGAGGGCGCCGCCGCCGAGGCGCGGGCCGTGCACGAGGAGATCCGCGCCGACGTCTCGCCGCTCTTCCTCGCCGCCGGCAACGGGGACGTCGCGCTCGTCCGCGCCTTGCTCGTGAGTGATCAATCCCGCCCCTGCTCTCCCCCGTCCAGCCCCCCCCCCGGCTCTGTTTTCTCGCGTCGGAATTTACTGGCTATCCGCATCACGATTCACGCTTGTTTGTTTTCCCTTTTTTTGTGTGCTTTTGGGCCTTGCGTTTTGAGTCCTACACAATTAATCGTTCACAGAGTAATCCGATCCCAGATTTGGCTTGCTACGCAAGTTGCATTTTCGAGCTGTTCGTGCGTAGCGCCGTAGCCACTTGCCTGAAATTTTTGGGCGATTTTGGTGCCAATTTGTTTTCAAATTTGCCGACCACTGAAGAGCATGTGGTTCATTGCAGCGTTGTAGGCTAGCCTTTTGCCCGCTATATTGCGTTGCTTTTTCCGGGTTGGTGAAAAGCGATAGGCACTGCATTTTCGAATGATTTTAGCGGGCGCTGGCACTATTTATTTATATATTTATAAGTGCCCCAACATCCTACATCTTCGCCTCGTTTCCGCTTGCTAGAAAAAGGCTGATATGTTTATCCACACTGTTGATCCAAGTACCAGCCAACTCGGCTCGTTCTTTACGCCAATCATAGCTGTACGTACTGTGTAAATGCACGCGCAAGTGCCTACATCAGTACGAGTTGGAACCAAGAGATTTTACCGGACCCACTTCAAATATTTTGCCCTTTGTATTCCTTCAAAAAAAATATTTTGCCCTTTGTATAGCTCGGAGTTAAAGAGTACGGGTGTGTAGGCAGATAAATGCAAAGCAGAATACATGATACCTGTACTCTACTTCCCTCTCGATTGCTTGGTCCTTTGCATACCATACTAGTGCTGGTAGTATATGTTAGGATTCGCTTTTTGTTCCCACCGAAAATTAAAAAATGGATGATAAATCTTAATAAAGGATTGCTCATTATGAGAATGTCCTGAGACCAAATTATGCGGTTCATTAGGGCACTCCCGATGCTAAAAACCCGTATATAGTTTCTATGCATATATACACTATATATAGAAATTACGAAATAATGGATAGTTTCTATAAAATAATCTTTTATCCAATCACATATCTTCTTTCTTCTTTATTTACCTTTGATTCCCACGGAGATATGTTTCTTATTAAGAAACCATTTTCTCCTCTCTCTCCTCGATAAATCGCTTGCCATATGTCAGCAAAATGTTTAGTTGGTAGGATAATTAATGCATAGAGGGCCCTTTTCTAGCCTAAAATCATTTGGAATCTTTAATAACTGTGATTAATCAGTGTTCAGTTCCAGCGGGCACGGCACTACCAAGCGGGCCTACGGTCCTACCAATTCTCATTGCTGCCCTGCAATGCAATGGGACCATACTTTTGCTGCAGCTCTTTATTGGGTACGGACATGCCCGTCCTCTTCCATAGCCAAGTAGAAATCGTCAAATGGGGCATGCAAAGCAGCCTCTACGCAGGGGAAGCGGAAGCTTCGCCGGAACACTTCGAGATCCTTGGTATACGTGTAGGCATTGGCCGTTGTGTACTCGGTTTAATAAGTATGGTACGCATGTACTGGTATGGTATTGTACCAGCCTACCAGGTAGTATACCACTGTAGTAGCAGTATCCACCAAGTTGTTAATTCTACTGTCAGTTAAAGGAAGGAGCAGTAACACCAACAGTGAACACACGGGGTCCATCCGTCCCCAAGTAAATTTATCCCCGCCGTGCTCTGCAGTCCCACCGTGTTGTCGCGTCCACAAACTGGCCACGCATGGAGATCCATAACTGTAAACTGCAGGCGTGTAAACTATTCCTAGAAAAATAAATCTTGGGCAGTAGTAGTATTTTAGTAGGAGGATTGGGAGACAGTGGTAGATGGGTTTGACTTGAGCCCGGCCGGAAGGCGAGCCCTGTTTTTGTTAACTTGCCAACACTAACATAATCAGGAGTAGAAAGCAAACCCGGCCAGTGTTTGTTAACAAGTGCAACCAAGTACACAACAGCTCAACACTTTGGTAGAGACCAATATATTCCCCTCGTGAGCGCGGTCGGGTGCGGGATCACCGGTCACGTGCCCCCGCCCGGTCGCCGCTGTCCGCTCTCTGTCTAGCTCCAGGCTCCGGCCACGTTCCACGTCTCCTTCGTGTGCGTGCGCCGCGTTATCTTGAGCTCTGGTACGGGATCCTATGGTACTTCGCCACCTGCGCCTCAGGCCCTAATCAATCTTAGGTTTGAACCGCGCTTTGCTAGAGGATTTACGAATGGTACTAAGACTCGTCCAGTCGCCCCTCATGTCGTGCAAGGATCAGGATCACTGTGTCAGCGGAACGTGGCTGAGGCCTTGAAGGTCTGGGGGCGAGATGGGACCTCTGTCCTTTCGGCCGTGCCGTCTCGTGGTACGGGCGTCCGGGCACGCTGTCCGGCTTATCCGCCGGCCGGCGTCATGGGCGGCGCCCCAGGGGCGCCATTGATAGGGAGTGGATGCCGCTGCTGCCGCGGTATGCGCCCGGCATCAGCCACGTACTTTCGCTGCCTCGGCACGGCGACTGTGCCGTCGTCTCCCCTGATACCTCTGCCGAAAGTCTAATGAATGCCGCTGCCGGTGGCAGGCGCTCGCCCATGGCCCGGAACACGCTGAAGCATGTCCTTCGTTTTCTTTGGAGCTCTGGCTCGTCCGGATATTATGGAGTAAAGTGCAGCGCCGTGTGGCTGTCCATCCTTCCCGTCCTCGTCGGTCGGCCGGACAATCATGGCCCTGAAACTCGCATGCTGCGTGGCCAGGTGGTGGGACGATAGTCTTCGTTAGACGAAACCAGTTCTCAGTCCGAAATCGTTCCTCTGTCGTCACGAATCACAACACTTCGGTGATGTTTAAATCCAAGGGTAAAGTTTAGGACGTAACATCGAGATGTCATATGGAAGTATTAAGATAGTAATAATAAAACAAATTACAGAAGTTCTCGATAATTTGCGAGACGAATTTATTAAACCTAATTAATCTATCATTAGCACATACTGATTGTGGCACCATATTATCAAATCATGGACTAATTAGGCTTATTAGTCGTAATTTGTGTAATTAGTTATTTTTTAGTCTATATTTAATACTCTATGTATGTATAAACATATGATGTGATAAGAAGTAAATTTTAGGGAGAAAAATTAAAACAAGCCCCAGGTCAGTTTACAGTCCAGTCCATGCGCCGTCTGGCCAGCATTGGACCTACCCGTGCGTGTTCCGAGCCGGATCACTCACCACCCGTGGGCGGTGGCAAAACAGTACCTGGTCGAGTAATCTCATCTCATCCATGTATGCCAGGAAGCTCACATCCATGACCTGCATCAGCCTGTTCGCTTGCATTGTGCCAGGAAGCCAGATGCTGGTGCGCCCTGCCGCCCCAATGCGTCCAAGCCGAACCAGCTGTGAGCTGTCTGTATTTCATGGCGCCATGAAGCCAACGCCATCCATGACTCCATGTCCACCTCCCGGCCCCAGGCCAGGTAGTAGGACCGGTCGACGATCCTTCTCCTCGGCTATCTTCTGCTGTATTAAAGACGGCAGCGCATGTGTCACAGAAGCCCGGCCCAGCGCCGCGGCACCTCAGTGCCAGTGCAATGTATTGGGCGTGGTACGGAGAGCGCTCGTCCGTATCGTGCCGTGTCGTCTTCCCTGCCCTGTAGCCATCAGCCCCTCATCTCTGCCACCGGCCTGGCAGCGGCCGCGGCCAGCTGTATCCCCTGCTCGGCTGCTCCCCGTTCCTCCAGGGCTGCTCTGCCAGTAACGCACGCACGCACCTGGCGCCCATGCACTGCCGCGGGCACTCCCTCCTGCCTGCGGCCCCGCCCCAGCCCCTAGCCCCCAGCCCCCAGTTCGTGTTTCAGGGCGTGGCCTCCGTGTACTGTGGCGCGCCCCCAGCGGAATATTATCCCGTTCGGTTGGCTGTTAGGCGGGTTCGTATCGTTACTCGTTTATTTATACGAGAGAGTACTCTGGCTGGTGTAGATAAACAGTATTTTTGAGGGGCCAGCCAGCTCAGCCGGACGATGACACGAGGAGGACGCTGCCTGACGCCTGTGAAGAACATCACCCCAGTTCAACAGTGTGCGTGTTTTTTATCGGTGTTTACTGTGCGTTGCTCGTGCTAGATCTTGGTGAGATTTGAATGCCTGGCTGTTAACCAGGAGCATCCATCCCTAGGACCTGCTTGTGATTTGCACCATGTTTGCTTGATCTTATCAGCAACGCTTATCAGGTATATAAGCCACTCAAACGAAGCGAACAGGTGTTTGTCTGATGGTTGGATCGCGACACCGATGCAGCAACTCTTGTCGCCAGATTTTGCGAATCGTACGGCGTACGTTGCAAACTGGCGACGCATCGTTTGCTTGTGTTGGCAATTCAGGCCTGTTTAGTTGCTCTAAAAAATGAAGTGCGACATCTATGTGACTAAAAAAATAATTAATTACGCAGATTGCGACTACTTTGCGAGACGAATCTTTTAAGCCGAGTTAGTCCAAGATTTGACAATAAAGTGCGACAGTAATACATATGCTAATGATGGATTAATTAGGTTTAATAAATTTGTCTCGTGGTTTACTGATGGATTCTATAATTTATTTTTTTATTAATATTTGAACACCACGTACGTCATCTAACGTCATCATGTGACATCCGATGTGACACCTCGAAACTTTATAAACTAAACCAGACCTTATTTGCATGTGCCAAAATGCACAATGCAGATGTGACCTGCGAAGCCGACGGAGGGTGGCAGTGGGCAGTGGCACGCGATGTTTTCCAGCAGTTACATCCTGAAAGCTAGAGGCGGTGCCACCACCACGCATGAGGCATGAGAATTTCATGAGTATCAATCGCCCTGCAGAATTTTGACCAGATTCCCCGCTTCCAGGAGGCGGCCCCCTCCTGTCTCTTGCGTAAATGAATTCCAGCCACGGAGCAACCACTGCTCCGGTTATTTCCAGTGACCTGACGCGGCCACTCCTTTGGTGGTCCGCCGCACAGCACCGACCTGACCCAGTGACCGGACACAGTAGTAGTAACAGCGACATTTGTTACACGGACAGCTGTTGTGCAGGTCCCGATGCTCATTTTGTCACGCCCTGTTCGATGCTACTATTGCTTCTTATCTTCAGTGTCTGTAGGTCAAGGAGAGTAAAGAGAAGGAATACTACTACTAGTAAAAAAAACCCAGAAATGTAGAAGCAATCAGTGTAGGTGAAATGAGTATAAGAGAAAAATGTAACGTGGCATCATTAAGTTGAGATAATTGATCTCAAATTGTTTCACGAGCCTCGGTAGCGGTTTTAAGGTCCTGTTCTTCAGCATTTTACAACGAGAATGACATTGACATTGTGTTCCATTGGATGCTTGAACTTTTGCTCAAGAAAACCCACTTTGTAACACACTATCTGATGGTTCACGGTTCTCACTTATCGTGGACTCGTGACACGCGTGCAGGCAAAGGGAGCGGATGTGAACGGCAAGGTGTTCCGGGGCTACCCGACGACGGCTGCAGCACGGGAGGGGTGCGCCGAGGTGGCGGAGCTGCTTGTGCGTGCGGGTGCGTCGCAGCCGGCCTGCGAGGAGGCCGTCGTGGAGGCTGCTCTGCAGGGCCAGGCCGCCCTCGCGGCCATCTTCATGCGCTCGGACCTCGTCCGCCCCCGCGTTGCCGTCCACGCGCTTGTGTCTGCCGCGGCGCGCGGCTTCGTCGACGTGGTCGACACGCTCATTAAGGTACTGGACCTTCGGATCTTCCTTGCTTGGTACAAGTGCTCTACGTGGTTGCAATCTCGTCCAGTTTCAGAAACTGTACAAAAGCGCTAGTGTTAATGTATACACTATACAACATCGTCGCATTCCACGTGTAAGGCCCAGTATGTGTATTGTTGGCCCAAAACGTTGGGTTGCCGTATGGGCTTTAGCATCATGAAACGGCGCAAGCTGAGCGGTGAACAGAGCTGAGGCGGTCGTTTAGTCCCGCCTTGTTACCCGAGCGGCGCCTTGACCTGTTTATAGTAGTGTGTGCTAACTGAAAGAGTGTTGGCATCTCCCCTGACAGGGACGGGAACAGTCTTTGGACTTTCCTCTAGCACATTGCGGTTAAGGCTACTCGCTTCGGCGCATCTTATCCAAAATTTTCACATTTAATTTTCTTTTGCTTAGAAATTTACTTACTTTAGCAAATTTTATTTTTTGTTAGAAGAAAATTACTTTTGCAATCAGTTTGTTACAATATGTGAATGAATGATGAAACTCAATTTTTCTTTTGTTTGGGCTTAGAAACTTTAGCAATCAATATCAGTTAGTTACAACATGTGAATGAAACTTTAGCTCTCAGTTTTTTTTTGTTAGAAACTTACTTTAGCAGTTTTTTTTGGCTTAGAAACTTAGTTTAGCAATCAGTATCAGTTTGTTACAATATGATGAAACCTTTTTTTTGCACTTATAAACTTACTTTAGCAATCAATATCAGTTTGTTACAGTATGTGAATGAAACTTTTATAAATTTTTAAACTTACTACCAGTATCAGTAATGTGTAAATGGGTTTCACGATGGCTGTTTCAAATATGATCTCGAGCCCTGAATTCGTCTGATTCCCTCAAACGCAGTGTGGAGCTGATCCAAACGCGACCGCCCGGGTGCTCCTGCGCTCGCTGAAGCCATCCCTGCATGCCAACGTCGACTGCACGGCGCTCTTTGCCGCAATCGTGAGCCGTCAAGTCGCTGTGGTCCGCCATCTGCTTCAGGTGCGCATCATCTGTGAACAGCAGCCGCAAAATACACTCATATCCAGGAATGGGCGCTTGACACCATCTACCAACTCATGTTCAGGCCAGCGTGAAGAGGGACACGAAAGTGAGGCTGGGAGCATGGTCCTGGGACGCGTCCACCGGCGAGGAGCTGCGCGTCGGCGCCGGACTCGCCGAGCCTTATGACGCGGTATGGTGCGCCGTGGAGTACTACGAGTCCACGGGCTCCATCCTGCGCATGCTCCTCCATACCGGGTACACGTCGACCGCCGCTCACCTCGGCCGGACGCTCCTCCACCACGCCATCCTCTGTGGCAGCGCCGGTGCCGTCCAGACCTTGCTGGCGTCCGGTGCGGACTCCGAAGCTCCCGTGAAGACGTCCAGGAGCAACAGGTCCAGGCCGGTTCACCTGGCCGCGCGCCTCGGCCAGCCGGAGATCCTGCGGATGCTGGTTAACAGGGGCTGCGACGTGAACGCGAGGGCGGAGGCCGGCGACACCGCTGCCATCCTCTGTTCGCGCCACAAATGCGAAGACTGCCTCAGAGTTCTCGTGTCCGCCGGTGCAGACGTCGCGCTGTTAAACTCGGCTGGCGACTCCCCGGCCTCCGTCGCCTCCTCTGGGGGATGGAAGACCGGCTTCGAAAGGGCTGTCATTGGCGCGATTCGGTCCGGGACCATCCCACGCTCGAGCGATCGGAACGTGTTCTCCCCGCTGATGTTCGGCGCGCTGTGCGGCGACGCGACCGCGATGGAAGTGCTGCTCGCTCAGTCAGACGTGGACGTGGACGAGCAGGATCTGGACGGGTGCTCGCCCATAATGGCTGCTGCCAAGATGGGCAACGTCGAGGCCTTCCGTGCCCTTGTATTCGCCGGCGCCAACGTGAAGCTGAGCAACAAGCGCGGCGAGACGGCCATTGGACTGGCGCAGCAGAGCAAGAAGAGGGACCTCTTCGAGCAGGTCATGCTCGAGTTTGCACTGGAGAAGGGCATGCCTGGAGGCTTCTACGCGCTTCACTGTGCCTCCCGGCGCGGGGACACCGCGGCATCGCGGCACCTCGCCAGCACGGGCTGCGACGTCAATATCCCCGACGGCGACGGCTACACCCCGCTGATGCTCGCGGCAAGGGAAGGCCACGCGGGCGTGTGCGAGCTTCTCATCACCTACGGCGCTCGCTGTGACCTCCGGACGCCGCGCGGCGAGACGGCGCTCTCCCTGGCGCGAGCAGCGCTGGCCACGGCGGGCTTCAACAAGGCCGAGGACGTGATCATGGACGAGCTGGGCCGGCAGGCGGTCCTCCAGGGCGCGCACGTCAGGAAGCACACCAAGGGCGGGCGCGGGAGGCCTCATGGCAAGTCGCTGCGCATGGTCGCTGCGGCGGGCGTGCTCCGGTGGGGCGGGTCGAGCCGGCGCAACGTGATCTGCCGGGAGGCCGAGGTCGGTGGCAGCTCGGCGTTCCAGCGGCACAGGCAGAGGAAGGGAGACGCGTATGAGCCGGGGCTGTTCCGCGTGGTGACTACGACAGGGAGGGAGGTGCACTTCGTGTGCCAGGGCGGCGAGGAGGCCGCGGAGCTGTGGGTGAGGGGCATCAGGGCCGTGACCAGGGCGGCATTTGGCAAGAGAGGCAAGGAGTGAGCGACTCGTGGCTGCTTTCTCTCCGTTAGGCTCTGTAGGTTTGCAGCGAGGGCTTGTTTGTAAAGAGTTGAAGCGGGCGTAGAGCCGTAGAGGGGCTGTGTGGTTTGGTGTGGTGTGCAGCTGCGCTGGTCTTCAGCTCGAAGGCTTTGGCTGCTGGGTTTGGCTTGCCATGATGGATTTTGGTTCAGGGGCATGGGGTTGTGTTGTGTGTATATAGCCTGGGTGTTGTCTCGGCTAAGTTGCTTTAGCTAACTGGCCTGTAGTGCGTTTCTATCTGAATCATAATTCTCCTTTGAGAAACTTCGCCATTTGAGTTTATTATGAGTTCTGGATTCTGACACGAAGCAAAAGAGAAAAACACTTCCTGGGGAAGCTCAAAAACAGCTATGCCTTTGGCACCACTTGCAACTTATTGTGTTAAATAGAAACAGGAAATGAGAAACAATTTTTTTTAAGTAGAAGCTGAGAATAATTAGTGCCAACCACGTATATCAAACTGAGCTTAGTTTCTTCGTTCTGCAAGTTTTAATCAAAGACCGCGCGACTGGAAATTACGTCACCACCAGCTAACCTGTCCTGGTCATCTCACTGTTCTGAACTGCTACCAGTATAGTTAGAATGGGACAATAAAATTTATATCCTCCACTCAGCTGCCAAATCGCAGCTGCTCAACATTGTTGGAATGTAAACAAAACGCAACTAGTAAATGAAACATAACTCATCGACCAGAACACTTCAGCTTCCGCTGATTTCCTTTTCCTTAGCCTTGCACATATCATCTGCTGACTTTACGAACTTCTTTGTCAATTCTTCAATCTGGCGGAAACTTAACAGGATAAGTAATCATTGGCAGGCAACATACTTATTTTTAGCACTGTTTCAGATACTCACCTCCTTCTCAATCCTCTTTACATCATCCTTGGGCATACTAGATGCAGATTTCTTTATTGTATCAAGTGCCTGGACAAACATGGCAAAGTTTACTATGCTACATAAATACATAATGCCAATAACAGCCTAGAGCATTGGAGTCGATGGAACTGAAATCCAGTAGTACTCAGAAGTCCTAGGCTCCAAGCAACTCTAGTTTAGTGGAAGATTTTGAACATAATAAATTTAGCTTTGAGAGCCAGGTACTAGGCCAAGTGAGATGGCAAAAGTACTTAAGCACACCAGTGAACATTACCCACAATAGGAAGGCTCGTCACTAAACATATCAACAATGCTTCTACACAGACCAATTTATTAATCTTCACCTCTGATAAGGCCCTGTTCGCTTGAACTTATCAGCCATGGTACAGTGTTTTTCTCTCACAAAAAAATCAGCGAACAGTACTTTTCAGCGAAGATTGAATGAGCTCAACCACAAATTAGTTTTCTTACTCATAATGTTACTAAGTGACCAGATAACAACTTGTCAAACTTGCTGCAAGTGAACCCTGCCCCCAATGCATAATAAACTCTAGAAAAATAGACATACTCAAGTATCACATAGTCACCAAAAATATTTCTCCTAAATTCCAAGTGTCAAACTAATGTTTAGTTTAAAACTTGAATCAACTTAAACTGAGGAATAAGGCATATGATTGTCCACATAGCTACTGCCATCGCCAGAATAGATTAATTAAAAGAAGAAAAAGAGCAAGCCTGTGTTACCTTTTGGCGTGCTCCTCTAATACTTTGTTTAAAATCCTCTGCTGATTTAGTAACAACCTTGCACAGTGCCTATACTCAACAACAACAAAGCCTTACCTGTATATGTTAGCTGTTTCCATACAACAACAGTGCCTATACTCATGCACCGAAAAAATATGTTAGCTGTTTCCATACAAATGAATTAGTATTAAGTCGGCAAATCTTACCTGTATATTCTCCTTCGTCAACCTAGGCATGCATAATAAAACAAAATTAGCAGAAGGAAGCAAATTTAAGAGTGTAGTTACTGACTTATGTAAACTAAGTTATTGCAGCTGCCTCTCCATAAATATTAAATGGAATGAACCTCAAGTTTGTAGACCATGCAATTAACTCATTGAATCAGCAATAATATAATATTATAAAAGTCGTTGAGTAAAAAATTATTTCACCCTCGCAAGCAGGTGCCTGAAAATTTATTGTCTAGAAAGTAGAAACCACTGGTAAATGTAAAACATGACAATACATACATACCAACTATTGAAATACCAGATACTCCGTAAACTATAACCATCAACATTAAAGGAAACACTTACGGAGGGATAGCTGCAATAATCCTATTCCCATCAGGTGTTGGATTAATGCCCAATGGTGATGAGACAATAGCATGCTCAATAGACTTCATGGACTGTAGAGCAACATATTAGAAATGAGTCAAAGGGAGCCTAAAAGCAGAAGCCCAATTACACCTCATACTGCTATGCTATTTAAGTCCAAGGCAACAGGTAACAAACACATTAACATGAAATTTGTTGTTTAGGCCTATAACAGAAACTTGTGATAAAAACAACACCAAACATATCTTCTGTGTATCATGTATTAGATTTTCAGGAAATTTGACTTGATCCTCCGGCAAACAAATTATTGATACAAAAACTGCATCTACTTGACAACAAAATCTACCAGCTTCAGCTAGCAAAATTTAAGGAAAGAGACGCTTCTTACAGTAGGATCATAAGGCATCACTGATAGGGTATGTGCATCCAGGACAGAAACAACGGCAATGCGATTCAATGCAACTTTAACACCTGCATTCTCCACCATGATATGGTCAAGCATGCCTGCAGAAACAGATGTATTTTTATCCTTAGCTGAAGAAACTGCACTGATCAACAAAAGGAAAATAAGAATATTATGGCAAAGGCAAAGGCAGCGATATAAGGTTACCAGGAGTAGCTCTTCCAGTCCGTAGTTTGCTCAGCTCTCGTGACAGCGCGATCACTGCAGCATCCATTTGTGCAGTGGCAGCTGATTTGACAGTTGGCCCAATGTCAGGAACAGCTTGAACAGTGTCACCTCGATCATCCTCTACACAGCCACAAACAAAGAAAATGTGATTGGTCCATCGAAGGCAATGCTTCCATAACCATCCTTCTTTTCACATCGACAGTCGTAAGACCCTGATGTATCCATTTACTTGTATCAAATCAGGGACCTCATAAGTACTAGTAACACACAACAGGAACTGAGCTGCCATTTCAGTATTTCACATTATCTAACCATCCAAGGAGGGGCGGGTGCGCAACTTACTCGATTTCTTCCCCTTCGCGAAGCCTCTTCGGTTCTCGAAGACGAAGAGCCGCGCTGGAGCGAATTCCCCGGCGCCCGCAAGGGATCCCCCGGCTGGGAGGCGGTGCACGGTGGTGGAAGCGGAGGAGGCAGCCGCGGCGCCGAAGGTGCGGGCAGCGAGGGCCGCGCTTCGGCGAAGGAGGAGGGCCATAAGGGCAGGGGTTGGGGGTTCCTCTGAGGCTGGTCTATAGAAGGCTCAGGTGGTCAGGTTTCCTATCAGCTACGCCGGCTAGCGGCAACGACGGCGGCGGCGGCGGCGAGGGAAACAGAACAAAGAAGGGGTTTTGCAAACTTGTCCCGTTTTCCGTGGGTTTTTACCCGTTTGCGGCCGAAACGAGAATGGACGCTTTGTTGTTGTATAAGTTGGGCCGTGTGTTCGCGGTCTATCGAAATGGGTTTTAGCAACCCAAAATTCTAAGGGTCCATTCTAAGGGTCCATTTATTTTGTCCTTTTACGAGCACAGTTTTGGTGGGAATGTTATTGTGTCCTTGAGATATCTCGTATCGTATGGTTTATATTTTGGCATAGAGTAACCGATATTTTTTAAAAACCTTTGTAGCATTTATATAACTAAAAACATTTTTGCTATGACGTCAAAGAAAACTTCAAAGATGGAGTTTCAGACTTTCATGGACTTAGAGCGACTCCAACAACTTGGTTATTCTTGAATTTGCATAATAAAAAGTAGGCTCCAACACATATGTTATCCAACTTTGTAAAATAGGAAACTAGCTATCCTTGGTGGCCATTTATAGCCTACCATGAGCTCTCCCTATGTGGCTTTGTAAATTAGCAAGGTTGTTGTGAATCTTTTTTTATGAGTTTTTGATTTTACAAAATAGCTAAACAATAGAATTTAGGTACTAATTTTAGTCAAGCTGGAGCTACTCATGACTCCAAGATCAAAGCGATGTTAAACAAATTCTGCATCGACATGGCCAAACTATTTGATTTTTTGCTCCAAAATAAATCCATGCATTGCACGAAAATTCATGTGCCAGTGTGGAGTTGTTGCGCAGAGTTTGGATCACCGTCGAGCATGTACAACCAAGGACCGCAGAGTTTTGAGAAACCATGCTGAATTTGCCGTCCGTGCTCGTTTTAGAGGATTGGAGTATATCATTTTTGGAGGTAAAAAAAGGACTGGACTTTGGAGGCTGATCCCGTAACTGCACGCCACCAACCAATTTGAGAAACACACTCCAACGGAACAGGGAAAGAAAACACGCAAATCTAATGTGTCTTGGAAGCTACTATTCAGAGCGGCTGCAATGATGCCAACGAAATGTAGCCGATCGCACGGCACGACCTCGATCGGCCTCATTATAGCGGATAATTTGATCAGAGGCCGCAACGGCGACATGCCATGCCATGACCGCGGACCGCAGTCACCATCGCACACAACGCGCTGGCATGGGCCGTGCCGCCATGCGCCACTGCGCGCTGTGCCAGAGAAAACCACCCGGCCTTCCTCTGCGTGTTGCCCTTGCCCAGGCTCAGCGGGCCCGTGCCTTCTTCAAGGTTGCGGCGCGAGCGCGATGCCGATGCCGATGTGGCAGACGCGTCGGAGAAGTAGTTTTTGTTAGGTTGATCTCCACCAATTTGGCCCAACGGCCCATTGGGCCCTTGACTCGCGCCCTGATCGGAGGCACCCAGCCGCTCTCCTAGCTGGTGGGCCCCCGTCGCGCAGCGCTATCTAAAGGAGGTGGGGGCTGGAGTTCGAGCCATGAGGTTGATCGCAGCCGTCAGTCCCACCGAGGTTTCTAACCCTAGTCCGATCTAGAGGGAGTGCTATGAGCGACGGGAAGCTCCACCAGCCTTTACCGCCGTCACTGCACCGCGCCACCACTACGATGCTACCTCTACTTCGACACTAGAGGCGCGTCGCGCCATGCCATGGCTAGATACATCATCAAGTTTCTCATCTAAGTTATATTTTTAACCACTGATCTACACCTATATGGTCCAAGAACTCTATCAGTGGTATCGAAGCCAGGTTAGGTTGTAGATCTAGCCCGGGGTAGTATTAGTTTTCAGCATTTAGAAGGAGATGAACGAATTGAGTCAAATCAGGTTGAAACCCCAACCCTAGCCCAAACCCTAAGTGAGAAAAGAAAGAGGGTCGATGGGACTTACTTTTCCCACCTGCTGGCCACCACCGCCTGGCGCCGGATGGCGCCGTGCGGGAAGTACAAGCCGAGCCACCGCACGGCGCTACTTCGCCAGTGCACGGGCCAGGGCTCAGGGCACCGCCACATGGCCGCTCGACGGCGGCGCGTTAACCCTCGAGCGAGAGCGCGCGCCGGCGAGAGGCCTCGCGGCGGCGCCGTCGTCCTCCCCCGGCCGCGGGCCACCTCTCGAGATCTCACTGGCTCTGTGCGAGGATAGAACAGAAGGGAGGAGGAGCGAGAAAAGAAGAGGATGAAGGGGAGCCGGACTTGCTCCGGTGGCTGTCTTCCTCACCATCGCCGACGGCCACCGCGGCTAGTTCGAGTGTGGGGTAGAAAGGTGAAACAAATTAGAAGGAGCTCAAAGATTTCCAAGTTTTTTCCAAACCCTAACCCTAGATCACAGAACGGAGAAGAGGAAGGGACCTACGTGGGTTCTTTCCCCGCCGTTGCGACCGCCGTCGCACGGGAAGAAGGACCCGCCGCCACCTCCCTGGCACGCGGGAAGACGGTCGAGCCGCGCTTGTCATCGTGCGCGCAAGCCCCGGCCGAGGGCACCACTACAAGCCTGCTCGACGGCGGCGCGCTCACCCTCGGGCAAACGCCCACGCCGGCGAGGGGGCCTGCGACAGCGCCGACCTTCTCTTCTCTGGTAGCCTTGGGTCGCCGTCGCTGCTGCGCCGCGCGCTGAGCACTGAGGAGAGAAGAGGGAGGGAGAACGAATGAGTTAGGGTTTTCAGGGGAGCGGTTGGGTCGCGGTTTTTGTTCCGCCGAGGAGTGCAGACGGTCGTTCATTCGAGATCGACGGCTCCGATTGCACGGGCCAGATTTGGCCCAGGCGGGGAAGGAGATTCCCAACCTAGGCCCAGGTTGCGGCCTGGGCACGGGGGAGCGAGCGGTGTTTCGCTGCTGGGCCACGTACTGTTTCAATGGGCTGGGCAAAATGACCAGTAGATACCGAGTCATGTTTATTCATTTTCAGAAGCAAATTTTGATAAATCTTACACCAACGTAGTCAATTTTTTAGAGAGTAGATAAGGACCAAGAAATGCTCCTGAACTAAAAGAATGTATTTTATTATCAAATTTCCGCTGTAATGATGTTGATTATCTTCTAATTAAATTTGAACCAACAGGAGAATTTAATTTTGAAGAGTAGTTATATGTATTTTAAGTTGATTTATGAGTTTTATGCATTAATTCTATTTTCTGTCCAACGGTGATGTAGAATTGATGCAGAAGCACCTTGTTTATTTAACCAACGAAATCACTCGGCTGCATGCCAATGGGCTGCAATGTTGGGCTATGTGAATGAAAAGGCTTGAGTCAAGCGAGTTTAGGACTATTTTTTGGTTAGTTTATTAGTTTTTTGATTAAATTGGAACCAACAGGAAGATTTAATTGGAAAATAAAGTATATGTGAATATTTTTATGATAAGAGTTGCAATAAGTAACATGCATGTCTAATTTGACCAACGTTGGATTAAGCATGCGTGTTTGTATATAGATTTATCTTGCATGGGGAGAAGTTTGGCATAGTACTTATGCTAGTCCATCCTGCATGGTGGGAGAAGTTTCGTGATGACTCATATATTTTTGTATCCCGCATAACGAGAGAAGTTTGGGTAGTTCTTATGCTATCCTAGTATTGACCATGGCACAATAGAAATGCACTATCATGGTCAATACTAACCAAAAGATAAGAAATAATGCAAGTGTGACTTGCAAAAACACCGCTCATAAAAGACCTCGTTGAGTTCTTGAAGTGGAATGGGGACAATGTACTCCTATACGGATCAAGAAATAACTTTATTTGCATGTCATAATCATGTGAATGAAGTAAGTCATAAGTGTCTCCTCGTTCACAGTTTTTCTGAATAGTTCTCAAAATTATGGCAGTAAAGTTCATGCCATATTTTGAGGGGGAGAATTGTGAGATGAATTAAGAGTAAGTGTGGGGGGTACGACCCCGAATACCCACGGCAGACCACATGGGCTGCACCCCCAGGGGCGGCTGTAACACCTCGGGTGTTTTAAATACTAAAACATGCCATGTCATCATATGCATTGTACATCATTTGGTCTTAGTGAAAATTTTGATATGCATACACTACAATAAGTTTATCTTAATGTTGTATGTGTTGATTGGTAGGGTTTGAATCAAGTTTGAAATCTTGGTTGTAATTTGAATTTCCGAAAACCCTGATTTCCAGTAATTTGTTTTACCCCAAAAAACCTAATTCAAAATCGAAATACATTTTGGGGTTGAGCCTTAAAGCAAAAATGTAGAGCTTGTCGAATGGTACAAAGTTGGTTTTTGGAGTTTTCAAAGTTGTTTTATAAAATTTGAAGTAATTTGAAAAGGCGTAAATTCTTGAAATGTCCCCTTTTTGAATTTAAACTTGAATTTCAAAATGTAGACCGAATTTGGGTATGGTTATAAAAGCAAAGTTGTAGAACTTTGAATTTTGAACAACTTTTATTTTTGGAGATTTTTGAGTTGCCACATAAATTTGGGAGTAATTTGGGATTCAAATTGAGTGGCAATTTTGTAATTTTGGGGAACAGTAGCCGCGGAAGCCACCTCACCGCCGGCGATCTTCTTTCTGCTTCCAGGCGCGCTTGTGGCCGTCTTTGGCTTCGCGCTGGCGTGGAGAAGGGCCCTACGTGGCTTCTCTTTGCTTCCTGGTCGTGTTTATAGCCCAGGCGTCGTCCCCGTTCTTCTCTTCTCCTCCTCTGTTTTTCTAGTCGCCACCGCCACTGCTCCATCGTGCTTGCGCCGTCACCGTAGCGTCTCTACCGTCTCAGCAAAGCCTGTCCCAGCTCTTCCTATTCCTTGCACGTCCAGCCAACCAGCTCTGGTCGCTTGATTTCGCCGTGAAACACCGTTCGTTGCTCTTCTTCCTCACGGCCGGCAGCACCACCGTCGCGTGCGCTTCACCATGGCCGTAGCTCTACGGTGAGCCTCTGACCTTGCGAAGTC